AACCCGTTTGTACACAGTGCAGCGTGTGCCGACTGGTTGCTCCTCCCCAAAGCTGGCCGCGTCTCAGCATGGGAAGCACTTTGGTACTATGCAGGAGTCAATGGGATTACTCCTGATTTGACCCCTCAGTCAGTTGACTTCTTGTCGTGGCTTTGGCAGCCTGAGCCATGCAGCAATTCAGTCTCTCTGTGCATGTGTCTCAAGCATGTCCTTGGTTAACGTCTCTGAGCAGCTCCCAGCCCCCGTGTCTCCAAAGATCAATATGTCGCTAGTTGCTGGTTTCATGTAACCTCTCCTTTTTCCAAATTAGCTTTGTTTGTGTCCCTTTGAGGTGAAGCTGAAATGCCGCAAAAGGTCAGCACTGAAATCGGACCTCTTCCCGCTCAGGAGACCAGCCCAAGGGCTGGAGATGGTGATACAAGAGTGGTTGAATTTGACGTCTAGATGCGGGGTGGAGGGCAGGGAACCTACTTCCTCGTACCAGGAGTTCGGGGGCTCGTGGAAGTGGCTGGGTCTGACACCGGGTATGTCTTTTACAAGATCCTCCTATTCAGCTGAGCCAGTGTAGCGGGGGAGAGAGGGCCATCACCCTTTGCTCCAGTCCCAGGACCCCCCAGCTCTGCGAGAGGAGTCCCGATCTGCTGCAGCCTCCATGGCCTTCTGGTCCTGTTACCTTTGAGCAGTCGCTAATGGTGCGGAACTGTGGTGGTGGTGGGTTTTGATGTGAATGAACACCCACTGGGGACCAGGCTGGCTGCTAGCTGTCTCGGGACAGCTTTCTTGCTTCTGGGACAATCCGTTGTCTCTGGATTTTAAGAACAACCATTCACCTTGAAAAGACCTTGGGCAAGTGCCTTCTGAGACCTGAAAAGAGGATGGTGACACCTGGTTACCCAGCGTTACCATCTCAATGGAGTTTGTCAGTATGGTTCTCGTTAAGCTGCTTCAGTTGTGGGGACAAACTCATGGCTTGGTGGCAAGGGGTCATACCTGCTTTCAGACCAGCCCTCTCTCGCTCTCAACCAGCCTGATGATGAGAGGTGTTGGGTGCTGGGAGGGGACCAGTGTGTCTCGGTGATGCCAAGTAGTTGGTTTAGAAGCTACACTAAGGGGCTCCTGTCTAGTTCTTCTCAGCCAGAGGCTCTGACACGGGACTGCAGAGGGCATGGCAGAGGGGGATGCGGATGGCCCCATTGTTGGAGAATAAATATCTGCTACTTGAGGGCTGGGGCAGGGGGCAGGTGGAACCTGAACGTTCTCACCTGACTGGGGGGTGGGGGGCTGGATTCCAGCTCCTCCGATGTGTGGGACAGGGACAGCATCTCGTTTGGAGCATTGGCTTCATGGGGAGCAGGACCAAGCTGCTCGTGGCTCTGGGTTATGGGCTGCGTTGTCTCGGTCAGGCGTGGCAGTCAGGAGATCCCAACGGCCAGCGTGGGAAATTCAATGAAGACTCATGCATCCTAGCATGGTGGTGCCTCTGTCTTTATCAAACAGTGCACTTGGACTTACCGGTGGCACGTATCTGCTTTCTGAGCGGGGCCGTCTGAAGTCATCACTGTCTTGCAAAACTCCCGAGCTAGTGCCCTCTAATCTTTCACCCTACTCTTTGCCATCTCCAGGGTAAAGAGGTGACATTTTCCACATGGAATCCACCTTCCCCTAGAAACCCCTTTGGCCTGCGTGGAGCCCACATCTTAGTTCCTCGTGAGCAATTTGGGGGAGGGACCATCTGTCTTGTTATATCTGTGTGGTGACTAGCGCAACTGGGCCCTGACTGAAGCCTCTAACTGCAACACAAATAATCGTGATGCTTCTCTTCTAAGCCTGACTTGCACAGTTGCGCTCTTCCCTACCTCCCCAGCCATTATCCCAGTTTTGGGGTGTGGGGGGGAGGGTAACAAGGGTCCTTTGTACATTACAAATCCCTGTGTTCTCCACACTCAGAGAAGCCATTTTGCTCAAGAAGTTTGAGATGGATGGGACGAGCCAGCTGAGTTCTGACACTGGAAAGCTAGTGGCTTTTGAAAATTGTTCTAACTTCTTTTGACCTCCCATAACTCAAAAAAGAGGCAGCGTGTAAACTTCAGGTTTATTTCATGCCCTGATTTTCACTGCCTGGGGCCGTACTGGGTTTTTTTAGGTGAGTTGTAACACCGATGTTTTCAGTTATTGGAGGTGAGCTCTGCGGGTTGGAATGTGCCATGGGAAGTGTTTTTGCAAAGGTTGCAGCTTTATCCCAACTGATTGGTAGGTTTGGGGTAAAAGTTTTAGAAGCACCTAATTCTCCCTTTCAAAAGTGACTGGGGTACTTAGGCGTGGAAGCGCCGATGACCGTCAATGAGCTTTAAGCTCCTGAGTGTCTAAGGGCTTATCTGCACGGCCAGCCATGAATCTACAGCATCCTAGCTTGCCATGTACTAGCGTCACTAAAAGTTCTGTAGTGCATGTTGCCGTATTCCCGTTTGGAGTGGTCGCTCAGATACATGCTTTTGAGATTGTTTTGTCCTTTATGATCCATAGCTTATTTTTGTTAAGGCACGAACGATCCATTCTGAGCATCTACTTTGACTTCCTGGAGGAACTCAGAAGCCCTGACTCCAGACCCTATTTTTAAACAACTCGAATTCCTTTCCAAAGCCAGGAAGAGTATAGAAGAGTCCTAGCTCTAATCTCTAGACCTCACACTGCCCAGGGCCAAGAACAGAACCCAGGAGCCCTGACTCCAAGGGTATGTCTACACTGCCGAAGAAGACCTGAGGCACAGCCGAGACTGGCCTCGGTCACCTCTCTTGGGCCTTGGGCTGTGGAGCTATAAAATTGCAGTGGAGACATTCAGCCTTGTGGGGTCTCAGAACCCAGGATCAGAGACAAACGTCTACACTGCTATCTTTAGCCCCGCGGCCCAAGTCAGAGTCAGCTGACCTAGGCTCTGAGACTCAGTGCCAGGAGCGGGAGGGGGTATCACCGTCTAGACAAACCCACAGTTCCCTGCAGAGCAGAATCTTTCCACCTGTACTGTAAATCTAACCTCGGAGTTCAGCTTTTTGTCATGAAGTCCCTGTGTAAATCAATTGCCACCAGGCCTGGAAATGAGTAATTGTTTGTTCTAGACAAAATTATTCCCACCCCTTCCCTGGGTTGAACTCTTGCCAGGTTAGACTAAAGGAGGCTGATGCCTGTATGGGGAGGGTATGGGCATGGGTGATCTACACTAGGTGGGAATAGAGGGAGTGGAGTTTTTATGAGTCCGTAAAATCCACTAGGGACATAAAATCCACGGTTGCTGTGGATCTTATTCAGATGCGAGGTTGATGGGCAGTGGTATGAAACCCTTAGAGAGCAAGACATCAGCAACGCGCTGAAATCTGAACTGCAAATCTCTTTGGGGTTGACCAGTGAAATTCTCAGAAAGTTGATTGAATGAGCCGTGGGTTCCCCACCTTAACCCTAGCGTCCCTGCTAAGGTGAGCATTTACTCTGCTTCACTGGGGTGCTGCACAGACACAACGGGAAGTGTGATCCCTGCCGATAGTCCCCCTGAAAGGACACAGGGTTTGTCTATACTTGGATCTGGCGGGTGATTCCCAGCTTCCGGGAGCTTACCCATGCTGGCTCCGAGCAAGCTCGCGCGCGAACAACAGAACGTAGCTGCAGCAGCGTGAGTGGCGGGACTGGCTCGCTGCCCTTGGCTAGCGTCCCCAGGGTTGCTTTTCGGTTCCCCTCTCCCACTTGCAAGGGTGTTTGGATCCAGGAGTTGGGCGCAGGGGCATTCTCTAGGGTGGGCAGCAGGCCAGGCTGGGCTGCTTAGTCGTGGTTTCGTGTGTGGCGGCAGCCGTGTGGGATGAGGGGCCCCGGCGGAAGGGGCACTGTTTCACTTGCACTCACAGGGTGGTTCTGCTAGGATCGCTTAGCAGGAAGATGGGAGCAGAGGCTGTGAATTCCTGCGCCCTACGGGCACTGGAGGGAAGGGCACTGGAGGGAACAGCACTGTCTGCATGCACTCTGATGGGTGGGGGCAGTTTAAAATCGAGACCTGGCTGATTAGAAACCAGCCCAGACCATTCCCCTGCTCTGAAGTGCTTCTGCTTCACCCCAGGGCTTCTCTCTTAGGCCTGCTTTCCCCTGGTCACACTGACTGGTCTCTGCTTTCATGTCTGTAGCCACTAGACATTCCTCCTCTTACCCTATGGGGGAATAGGGTGGGATTGATCCTATCAGTAATTTGGGGATCCTCTATTGTTGTGTCCCCCTTGCTTTGCAAACATATGGGACACGCCTCACCTCCAATTAATAATAATCCCGAGCTCTTATTTAGCACTTCCCTTAGAAGATCTCAAAGTGCTTTGCAAAGGAGCATGGGATCATTAACCCCATTTTACAGATGGGAAAACTGAGGTACAGGGAGGTGAAGTGTCTTGCCCCAGGTCATCCATCAGGTCAGTGGCAGAGCCGGGAATAGAATCTGGGTATCCTGAGTCCCAGCCCAGTGCTCCATTCACATCCCAACATTTGCCTGTGATTTTGTAACCAGTTACTAGCCCAGTCACCTCGACTGGCCACACCAGCACTGCCCCCGTTCCGTTGGTGCGGTGTTGTGCCTTGGCAGCCATGTTTGTGTTTCCATGACCGTGCTGCCTAACTGGGTTTGCTCTAGTGCATTGTGGGAAATTGGGGACAGCTATCCCCTAGTGGCAAGGCAGGGGATGGATCACACCAGCAGCACTGAGGGCAATGCATTCTGGGATGTCCTACCATGCAGAGCTGGCAGGATTGGCCAGTGCAGTTATGCAATACGAATGGGTGTAGAGAGTCCTGTCCACCCAACAGAGAGATCCCACTTGCTGGCTCCAGGAGTTCCCACCATGCAGGGTGCAGGCACCTGCCATCTTTAGTTCCCTCCGTGCACCCTGCGTAACGGGCCGTTCAGCATCTGCCCTGTGATAACATGCTCCACAGCGATGGCCCCTCTCAACCCTCCTCTTTCGTCCCCCCCGCAGCAAACCTTTGAGGCCCACCCGGACGAGGAAGCCAGTGTGACGCACATGATCAAGGCAGGCAGCGGCGTCTGGATGGCCTTCTCCTCGGGGTCCTCCATTCGCCTCTTTCACACCGAGACCCTGGAGCATCTGCAGGAGATTAACATAGCAACGCGGACCACCTTCGTCCTGCCAGGTAGGGGTGGGGAGGAGGGCGGGGCTGTTTCTTAGGGGGCAGCCCACTGAGGATCAGCCCCAGGGCCGGTGGGTGTGTGGGGGAAGGCCGCTCCCTACGTGCTTATAGAATCATAGAATATCAGGGTTAGAAGGGACCTCAGGAGGTCATCTAGTCCAACCCCCTCCTCAAAGCAGGACCAATACCCAACTAAATCATCCCAGCCAGGGCTTTGTCAAGCCTGACCTTAAAAACTTCTAAGGAAGGAGATTCCACCACCTCCCTAGGTAACACATTCCAGTGTTTCACCACCCTCCTAGTGAAAAAGTTTTTCCTAATATCCAACCTAGACCTCCCCCACTGCAACTTGAGACTATTACTCCTTGTTCTGTCATCTGGTACCGCTGAGAACAGTCAAGGTCCATCCTCTTTGGAACCCCCTTTCAGGTAGTTGAAAGCAGCTATCAAATCCCCCTTCATTCTTCTCTTCCGCAGACTAAACAATCCCAGTTCCCTCAGCCTCTCCTCATAAGTCATGTGTTCCAGTCCCCTAATCATTTTTGTTGCCCTCCACTGGAGTTTTCAATTTTTCACATCCTTCTTGAAGTGTGGGGCCCAAAACTACACAGTACTCCAGATGAGGCCTCACCAATGTCGAATGAGGGGAACGATCACGTCCCTCGATCTGCTGGCAATGCCCCTACTTATATAGCCCAAAATCCATTGGTCTTCTTGGCAACAACACACACTGTTGACTCATATCCACCTTCTCGTCCACTGTAACGTCTAGGTCCTTTTCTGCAGAACTGCTGCCGAGCCATTCGGTCCCTAGTCTGTAGCGGTCCATGGGATTCTTCCGCTTGGGGTGGTAGAGAGGCCGTGAGGAGTGGGGGAGCATCTCCAGGGGAAGCACTTGACCCTCTGGAAATGGGAAGGCTGGATGTGGTCTTGGACACATGCTGTGACAGTAACAGCTGCTGGCAATGACCTGGCGGCCAGGAGCCAGCTGTTCTCAGGGAGGTGTGGATTCGGTGACCTCCTCCAGCTTCTTCATCCCAGTGTGCAGGCCGTGGGTCCATGTGGAAGGGGCCCTTCTGTCTGGGGTGAGGCAGGCTGCTTTAGCACCCGTGGGGCCCAGTGGCAGAGCTTTGGCAGGGGTCAGGCCTGGCTTTGTCATAGCCGCAGAGTGGGCGTGACTGTGGGGAGATGCCGCGGGGAGGAGGTGAGTTTGCTGGAGGTCTGCAATGCCGATCTTTGGGGAAAGACCCGTTCTTCCTCCCTGTGAACCAGCAAAGAAAATCAGCCCTGAGACGATTAGTGTCAAGAACGTGTTCTGCCCTGATTAGTGTTCCGCGGTGTTCATGGCACTCCCAAGACATCCATTGTCTCTCTCTGGAGAGAGCACTTCCCGCCTACGAGCAGCAGGGGGTGCTGTTCTGAGCAGGCTGGCTGGATTTTTCTCTGGGCTTCAGATTCTCCTTTCCCTCCCTTGCTTATTGCCAGGAAGCCATGGCCCAACCGGAACTTCACGATGGCCTGATCCCTGAACCCTGATCCTCCGGTTAGCAGTGTAGGGGCTTATGACACACAGTTGAGCAGTTCTGATACTAACCACTAGGGAGCAGTGGTGCTCACACACCACTTTGTTGCGCTGTAGACCCTTTCTGCTTTAAGCCTCCTCTCCACTTCCCTTTGTCCACATGGTCCGTTCCCATTCCAAACTCTTCTCCATCCTGTTCAGGGGCATGCACTGGAATCAGTATGGCTGCTTTTGGAGGGGCATTTTCTGTGCCCCCTGCAGCTGGAGAGACTGTCTCCCTCCCCCGGATGTGGCCCCCTCCTTGCGCATGCCCTTGATCCTATTCCCCTGTGTGGATTAACTGGTCAGGTAGCACCTCCTCCAGTTGAGCTCGCTGCTCTGCTTGGATGCACACTGCTTTGTCCAGATGGCCGGACGCTGACTGAGCCAAACCCCGCCAGTGGGGCCAGCTGCGGGGCATGGGCCAGGGTCTCTTACCAGTGTAGCTGCAGGCTGGAGAGGAGTTTGCCTTCTCCACCCCAGCATCCCTCCCATGCTATAACCAGGAACGAGGCCGATTTTTTGCATGAGGATCAGCGTGTTGGTAGTGTCTCATGGCAGGGGGGTGAAGATCGGCAGAGAAACGACCCCTTCCGGCCCTGCTCCCATAAGCTTTGCAGGCATCCCATTCACATGGGACGCACATGGCAGATTGGGCCAAACCCACCCTCCCTGGGGGGGGGGGAACATTCACCCCTTGAAATAAACAACCCCCTGCGTTCAGGGGGAAAAGCTGCTTGGCAGCATCTCTGTCCCGAGCCCTGCCTCAGCCCCGAAGCAGTGCTGGGAAGGGGCCGTGTTTATCATTAAAGAGGCGTGTGGGCCGGACACGCTGCAGAACTCCAGCTAATTGCTCGGCGAATGGAGCCAGATGGGCTGCGACCGCTGCTGTGGGAAACGGCCTTTGTCTGATGCCTGCATATGCTGTTGCTGTAAGGAAGCATCTTTCTTGCTGCGTGTTTGGCTGGGATTCTTAGCTGGTGATTTGAAAAGCTGGTCACCGCTTTACCAGCGGCCTGACAGACGAGGCCCCTTTCTGGACTGACCCCTACGGCTGTGGTCCTCCCCTGCCTCCTCCCCAGCCGATGTGGAGCCGCTGGGTGCCCGCAGAGTATTTATAGCCTGCTTTGCTGGAGGGCAGAGGGAGGGGGTGGAGTGGGAAGGGTGAATGGAGAGGGGAGGGGGAAAGTGGGGTGTGGGAGATGCGGGGAGAAACCCCCCACTTTGGAGCATGGATCCTTTTGCCCACACTCATCCTTGCAAAGCATTGGAGAACCAATCCTGGGAGGAGGAGGGAGGGATAGCTCAGTGGTTTGGGCATTGGCCTGCTAAACCCAGGGTTGTGAGTTCAATCCTTGAGGGGGCCATTTAGGGATCTGGGGCAAAAAAATTGGGGATTGTGCCTGCTTTGAGCAGGGGGTTGGACTAGATGATCTCCTGAGGTCCCTTCCAACCCTGATAGTCTATCAGACTGCGTTAAAATGACAGACCTGGCCCTTTAAATTTCCTCCTGGCCTTCTCTCATCTTCCTTTTCAAACAGCAATTCAGGGAGCTGCCCGCAGGGTGGATTCTCTAGGATGACTCTTAAAGGGCCGGGACTGTACCACAGTGAGGGACCGTCTGAAAAGGGGCTTGTTCTGTGTCTGGTCCCTCCCCCCCACCCCCCCGCAGCAAGCACGTCTCACCCTAGAGCTGTGATCAGCAGCTCACCAGAGAGGGGGGACTCGGGACCATTTACCCCCAAGCCCACAGCAGCGTTGGGATTCTTGGCAAGTTCTCTGGCCATTAGATGGCAAGATGATCCCAGATGCCTGTCCTGACTGATACAGAGGGGTAGCTCTGTAGTTGAAACACAGAACTGCCTTGGCTTCTCCTCTTGTAAAATGGGAATGATACCTGTTTGCCGCCCCCTCTGATTCAGGAGACTTAGGTTCTATTTCCCAGCTCGGCCATTTATTTACGGTGCGACTGTGAGCGTTTAGGGAAAGTTTCCAGTGCCTCAGTTTCCCCAGCTTCAAAATGGGACTAGTCATCCTTCTCCACCTTTGTCAAGTGCTTTGAGGTCTGTGGATGAGGGAGGAGCCTGCTGGGAGGAGGGGGGTGTTTATGACACGTAGAGCTTCATTGTTTCGGCTTTGTTAAACACTCTCTTGTTGTCAGTATCCATGTGGCCTAATTACTTCACTCGGTCACATTTAAACTTGATGAAGACGCTGGTGATGCCAAACACCTGTCCTGCGGAAGGCTGTTCAACACAGAGTGAAATGATTTGCGGGCTGTGTCAGGGTCCCGGTGGAACCACCCTCACTTCTTGGCAGCCTCCGCTCACAAGTCAAGTCATGCACAGTCATCCACTCAGCTCCCTCCTCATCCCGAGAGAGGGCCAGTCCTCACGTGTCAGGGGTGAGGCACATTGGCAGGGCAGCCGGGGGAGGGGGGCAGTTTTCCTGGTCCCTGCTCTGTGGTTACATACAGAACTTGAGTCTCTTTGGTCGTCAGGCTGGCATCTTTCATGAGCGCACAATTCTCATGCACTGTTTAAAAAGACACAGACAAAATCCTAGTGCTTGGCTGCCTGGAGAAACATGTACCAGTGTCATGACATCAATACAGCTGCACTGGTGGAAACCTCTAGTGCAGATACCCTACGCTGGTGCAAACTGGAATTTGCACCAGGGCCTGCCACATTTTTGCACTACTGCAATGGACACACTTTAGAAGTTTGCACGCTGCTGTAGTTCACATCACTGCAAGTTTCCCTCATTTAGGCAAGGCACTAGATCTTAAAGTCCTTTACTGATCCCTTCCGGAGAAAGTTCTACCCAGAGATCACCTCTTCTGCGTTCTCATCTGTTTGCTGTTATTTTATTACCAGGGTCGTCCGCATAGAACAGGATCTCTTGCTTCTCACTGGCTCATCTGCCAATCCCTCCCATTTCCCCCCACCCCTCTCTAAATTGCCATCGTACGTTTGTGCCGTCAGTTGTTTGCAAGGCAACCGATAGCGATATCACAAAAACTAACCACATCTAATGGGCCAATGAGAAGTCAGGAGCTAGTGAACTCAGTGGAAACAAAGATCCTGTTGTCATGCAAATGCTTTTCAGTGCTAAAGGATTTCTTTTAGTGGGCTGCAGGAATGAGAAATGCATTCTGGGGGATTGACTCCCAAACAGAGGCAACTGTGAGCTGGCAGCCCCTGAAGGGGAAGTTCTGCATTTATCCACAGAATAGCGATAGGTCGTGCCCTCTTCGGGCGACCAGACAGCAAATGTGAAAAATTGGGACGGGGGTGGGGGGTAATAGGAGTCTATATAAGAAAAAGACCCAAAAATCGGAACTGTCCCTATAAAATTGGGACATCTGGTCACCCTATGCCCTCCCCTTCCCCTGCCCCCCCCAGGCTGCCCTGCTAACCATCCTGACCTGGAAGGACTTGAGCCCCTGGAAGAATGAGAGGTTTATGCCCCATTCATTCCTTGGCCTCTGCTGAGACTAACGAGGAGGGGCAGTTTCTGATTTAATACAGTTCTCGTGGATTGAGCCTCTATACTGCGGCTATAGAAAATCCGAAAATAGAATCGATGCTGGCTTTTAAGGCCTTTTCTACTCGGGGGTGGGGGGGTTGCCCACGTTCCAGCCCCCAGCACAAGGCACCAGTGCAGATGCGTAGTGCAGAGAGGGTAAAACTGTTTTGCACTGATCCAGCTGTGTGTGTGTCTGAACTGTAATCACGGGCTGTGGTTGCCACTCGAGTGGACGCACCCACTAGTGCTAATCTAGCTGGCTGGGATACCAGAGTAACAGTGCTGCGGCCGAACGCGTGATTACGCAGGGGTCCAGCTGGGCTCGTCCAGCCTGCGCTGAAGCCCTCTGCGGTGCCTCGTCACACCTCCAGGGCCCGAGCGAGCTAGATTAAAGCTAGCTGGGGTGTGCCTACTGGACCTGCAGTCACGCCCTGGGATTGCCCTGCAGACATACCCCCTGTCTGACTGCGGTCTAGAATTGCCCTGATGCAGCTACGCCTCTGGCTGAAATCAGGGCAGTCCCACCAGCGAGGACCAGGCCTGAAGCTCGCCTTTAGAAACGGGCTGGAGCCCTGGATTTCGGACCCAAACTTCAAAGGGTGTGTTGGGATCGAGAAGTTCTGCTCCGTACCTATCGCTCATTTCACCCAAAGCACCAGCGGCCCTTTAAGAGCAGGGAAATCAACTGGGAAGAATTCTGAAATGTCACCCCCCTCCGCCCGCCCGCCCCCCCCCACGCCCCTTGGCTCTGAAGGTTGGTGTCCCCACCCCTCACTCCAGTGATGAACAGGAGTAATTGTTTAATTCATAATAAAGGCAGTCGTCGTGTAAGTGGGTAGGTGGGGGGGTTGTTTGTTTTTTTTTAGGGCATGTTAAAAAATTGATCACTTCCTTTTCTTCCTGGGAGAGTGAGGGTTTTGGCATTAATGCGTTTTTGAACTTAAGCACCCTCATCCTTTTTAACCAGACAGGTCATTAATAAAGTCTTCGCGGAGAGCCCCGGCTTTCTCACGTAGCTCAGCAGATATATTGCTTCGGTGAATCCAACGCTGCAGTGTTAAGTCGCGGTGATAAAATATTTATTTGCCATTAGAAATCTTACTTTTTTTTTTTTTTTTGGATGTCTTGCTTTTCCTTTCTTGGAGCGAGCTTGGGGAGCCCAGCTGCAAAAGAGTTCTGAAGAGTTAAGGATCTTTAATGGGATTGCCAAGAGGTCTCACTGGCGATCGGGGCTCTGTTGTGCTCAGCGCTGCACAGACGCTTAGGCCTTGTCTGCACGAGCAAGTGGAACCATTTTAAACTATACCAGTTTAGTTCAAGCGGTTCCACCCCCATCAGCATGGACACAATTACATTGGTATTGCTAATTCCCAAACAGGTAGGGGGATACGATGTACCCGTTTATTACTAATCCCTAGCTCTCATATAGCACTGCTCATCAGCAGACCTCAAAGCCCCAGGTCAGTACCATTATCTCCATTTTACAGATGGGGAAACTGAGGCACGGGGGGGGTGCGGGGAGTGAGTTGCCCAGGCCAGTGGCAGAGTCGAAGAATAGATCTGAGTGCTAGTCCAGTGCTTTAGCCACTGGGCCACACTGCCGCCGCTATATCACTGTAACTATGTCCACCCTCGGGTTGGTCCTGGTATGTAATTGTTTTTTCTGGTAGAGCTATTTCAGTGACAAAGAAAAAATCATACCCCTAACCAGTATGGTCGCCTCGCTTGGCTGCCTTTGCCCCAGAGCTTACAGTCTAAACAGATTTCAGAGGAACAGCCGTGTTAGTCTGTATTCGCAAAAAGAAAAGGAGTACTTGTGGCACCTTAGAGACTAACCAATTTATTTGAGCATGAGCTTTCGTGAGCTACAGTGAGCTGTAGCTCACGAAAGCTCATGCTCAAATAAATTGGTTAGTCTAAACAGACAAGATGAACAAAGGGTGCCAGGGGACACTGAGGCTCAGGGCAGGGTGCTCAAAACATGGCTCTCAAGCCACCTCCTCTCCTTCTGCTTGCGCTCCTTGGTTTTTTTTACTGTTCGTTGAGGGGATGTGTGTGTTTTAATTTTGAACTAGCTCCTAGATGGGGGAGAGGGGTGCGGAGGGCGCCGATCATGGATGAGGCCTGGTGGGAGCCTAGCAGGAGGCAGGGAGCATTTCACAGCGTGTGCAGGGAAAGGTGGGCAACCGAATGTGTGCTGAGAACGGGGGGCAGGGGAGGCCGGGGGCCAAGCCTTCAGCCCTGAGCTGGGGGTGGGGAGGACAGGATGTGCAGCTGGGCTCGTGGCTGGAGTGGAGGAGGCGGCTGCTTAAGGGGGTCGGAGCAGCTGCCCTTTTCCTGCGGTGCTTGGGAATGGTGGGCGGCCACCTGTCCTGCTCTGGCGCCCTCCTGCTCTGCGGCTCAGTGGGGCTGCCTGCTCCTTCCTAGCCCCCTTGCTATTGCACATAGCCGGGGGCCTAGGTCCCTGCTGGTGCTCCTGTGCCCACCCCTGCCCCTCCTTATACCTGGGAGGGCTTCCCTTCCTGCCCCCCCCCCCCTCTGCTTGTGTCCTTTATCTCATCCTGGGCTGAGATAAAGGGGGGGCATGTCGTATTTCCCCAGGGGACTCTCCATCGCAAGCACAGGGACCCCGGTTGGCACAAAATGACTTGTACATCCTAGCACTGTGCACTAAGCATCCTGCTCGTCATTCGTCCTGCCTTGCGGGGTGGCTTGCCAGATCCCTGCCTCCCCCCATGTGTGATATGAGCCAGCCTTGCCCCCCCCCCCCCGCCCCTCCGTGCAGTGATCGCATTGGGTGGATTTTTACCAGCCGGCCCCGGCCCCTGGTGGGGCGGAGAAATCTTCCTCTGTTTGGGTTCCCCTATGGAGCCTCGCCCTGCCACTTACCCCTCTCTCTGCTAGGGCCTCTCCTCCCCGCCTCCCATCCGCCCTCAGGTATGTCAGTGCTGGAGAGAGGAGACAGGCATCCTCGCCGAGCCGCCCGCACCCCCCACCTTCTTCTCCCAAACGTTGCCGCTAAAATGAAAAGACAGCGCCGCACCGATCACGCGGGAAGAGCTAATCTGGACTGACATCAAAAACATGTTAATTCATGGCAGCGAATTATCCGTCTCATTGTCGGTGCCGAGAAACAACGGGGTATTCTGTTCTTGCAAGGGAGAGGCACTCGTGCATTCAGAGTGTAAAACACGGCTCTGGAATCGCGCCGTCAGAGCTTTGCCAGTGCCGGCACCGGGGCCTTCGCCACGTGCTGCATGCTGGCGTTTCCTAGCCCCAGCTCTTGGCCAGCACCACTGCTGGGCCAGGGCGCTGGGTGGGTGCGGGCGGTGCTCTGCTTTCCCCGCCGTCCCCCAGCCAAGCTGGCCCCTTGTTCCCTTTCAGCGTCCCCTGCTGATGCAGCGTTGTCGTGCTCCCTTTGGAGCTGGCTTGTCCCTGGCCCCTCTCGTGCCAATCCCCCCTTGCCTGATGGTGCCAGTTAATGCCCCTTGGCATCCTGCTGGCTCTTATCCCCAAGCTTGCTGCTGTCGGAGTGCTCGTCTCCTGGTGCCCGTCTCACCCCCTCCACCACCTACGGCTGCAGCCTCTCCCTGGGGCAGATCGACATTCACTCCTTACTCTCCCCCAACAGGCCAGAAGAACGTCCGTGTCACCAGCCTGCTGATCTGCCAGGGGCTCCTGTGGGTTGGCACGGACCAGGGCATCATCGTGTTACTGCCTGTGCCCAGGCTGGAGGGCATCCCCAAAATCACTGGTGAGTCTGCTCTTCTGGTACATCTTGCCCCTGGGAGCTGGGCTGGGCAGAGCGGAGGGTTCTCAGCTGGGCCAGGAGGGAGATCGTCAGCTCTGCGTTGGTGCTAGTAGATGCCTGCCAAGCTAGGGTTAAGCTGCACCCGGGGGACTGGTGGAGAATCGCTGTGGGACTGCAGAGACATTGCAGCTGGCTCCTTCGCACGTCTTGCAGGGCAAGCAAAGTGCTCGCACTGGGATTTGCAAATGAGGCGAAGGGACCATGGCCCTCCAAGTCCCATGACATCCCAGTGGCATTTGGGCACATCTCTCCCTTGGATTCCTTCGCAGATCCCGGCCGAGACCAAACGCAGCCCTGGAAATCCAGCCTGTCGTGCTGCGGGCTCTGGGCTAGCGCGTCTGTTTTGTCAGCTTGCGTCGCGAGCCCCAGAGCGTGTTTCCACCGTGATCTCCGCGGCTCAGCAGGGTTTAGCGTGGCCGGCTCAGTGCTGGGGTGGGACGCCTCCCAGAAAGGCCCTGGGCCCTGCCAGAGGTGGCACCGGTGACTCAAGCGGCACACTGAGCCAGCGGTAAATGGATGCCCGGATGCGCTGCTCGAAGGCGCTGTGCTGCGGGAAGCGTTGCCACTTGCATGGGTCTCAGGACTGGAAGCCGTAAGCGCTGCTTGTCCTGGAATGTCCCGTATTTATCCATGTGTTTGCGTAACCCCCCCTGCCCCGGCGCATGGGTGCGCCAGTGCATTTCGGTGCCCTCCTATGCCCATCAGGCGCACATTACAAAATGAAAGCCTGGCATGTTGCTTTGTGTTCGTGGGCACTCTCCCTCCCTCGGCTGAGTCCTGGACAAACTGAATGGGACCATGGAGATCTGTTGCCTTGTCGCACACCATGGGGGTTCTCATGGAGGAGACTTTAATGTGTGTCGTACCTCCCAGCCCCTTCCAGCGTGGGACACATGGGGCAAAAGGCCAGAATGAAACCCTTTGGGTCCTATCTCAGACAGCAGCCCCGTGCTCCCTGGCTCAGCCACTGGGAGACAGGGTCATTCTTCACTGCACCTGGGGAAGGAGAGGGCATGGTAAACTCCAGGGATGAACTAGAAGGGCTGCAGATCAGGGCTGGGGTGCCCTGATGGAGCTGTGGGTACCAGGGCTGGAAACGCTCTGTATTTCGCCTCTATTCCCTCCCACCCCCCCAGCAGGTGCTGCTGAATGTCAGCAAACAGCCCCGCTTGGGCACCATCTGATCCCCGAGAGAGGTCGTGTTACCGTCGCTGGGTCAAAACTGTCCCCGTCACGACCACAACGGGTGGGCTGAGCTTCCCTTTCAGGACTGGCCACTGGGATTTCCCAGCATTCCCCTCCCCCCCCCCATTAATATGAACCTTGAGTCGCACCGCGGGGGGGGTAAAAGGGGGCACAGCACATAGTCAGGGAACAGGGAGTCCCAGGGGCCATGAGGTGGGAGGGGACTTGGGACTGTAGGCAGAATCAGAGGGGGTGGAATAAGGAGCCATCGGCTCCATTGGGAAAGGCTGGGTGTGGCATAGCCAGACCCAGCAGGCGCACGCAGCACGTCAGCCCAGATCCCTTTAATGATTTCAGTGGAAATTAGAAGGATCTGGGCCGTTGGGCCGGCTATGCAGCTCATGCACATCACGGAGGGCTGAGCGCTCTGGCCCCTGCTCTCCTCGCGGGCGCAGGGTTAACGGTGAGGAGCGGAGAGCTCGGGCCTGTCTGTGCATCTCAGAATAACGTGCTCTAGTTATCGAGGCAGCAGGGAGCCGCCGGGACTCAGCAGACGAGCCTTCCAATATTTATGAGGCGTGAACTTGATTTGTTTTCTGAAGCGTTTCCTGTTAATAAAACCTCTCTCTCTTTCTCTCTCCTCCCGGCTCCTCTCCCAGGGAAAGGCATGGTCTCTCTGAACGGCCACTGTGGCCCTGTGGAATTCCTGGCCGTGGCCATCAGCACCCTGGCCCCGGACGTGCTGAAGAACGAAAAGGAGGAGGAGGGCGGCCAGGAGGAGAAGCCGGATGGCCCGTCTCCAGAGCTGTCTGCCCTCGACAAGCCCCCGGCCGGGGAGATGAGGAAGAAGGGGATCCTCCTGAAGTACCGCCTCCACTCCACCTCCCACCTGCCTGGGCAGCTGCTCTCGGTGAAAGATGCCCCTCCGGCGCCGGGTGGGAGCACCCTGGAGCACAGCGAGGAGGACGGCTCCATCTACGAAATGGCCGACGACCCGGACATCTGGGTGCGGAGCAGGCCGTGCACCCGGGACACTCACCGCAAGGAGATCTCCTCGGTGGCCATCATCTCCGGCGGGCGGGGCTATCGGAATTTCAACCCCAGCAGCAAGCTGCTGGCCTGCAGCGAGACGGACAGCACTCTTCTCATATGGCAGGTCCCTTTGATGCTATAGCGTCGACGGCATCCGCTACCTGCAACGCAGCACTTAGGGTGGCTAACTCTGGCTCCGGACTCATGCCAAGCCCCATGAGGAGCGGCCTGCACCAGGGAATGCTGGGATTGTATCTGCTACTGTCCCAGGCCAACCTAGGGAATGACTTGCCTGCTGCTCAAGAGGGGGTGAAGCCTCTTCCACTTACCAAACAAATGAACACCCCTTCTCACTCCCCTTTTTTTAAAGACTTTTTTTCAAATGTACTATTCTTTTTCTTGAGAAACCAGCTTGTTTTTTGGGGGGTTCTTTTACCGTTGTGGGGTGCGTCGGGAGCAGCACCCTCCCTGCGGGCTGAGGAGGTTTGCTGAGCTCTTGGGCACGTCCCTTCCGAAGGGGGCGTGAGCGTCTGTGTGTCTGTGTGTGAATATATGAAAATATATATATATATAAAAATCTAATTCTGTATATTGTTACGGGTATAAATAAAACCATCTGTATATATTGTGGCATCCAGAAGTGCAGGAATAAAAAGGGGGCGCACATTGCAGACCGACGGGTACTGTGTTCTCTTGAGCTTCGCTGGCCGGTCGCGTGGGGTTCAGCTGGGGCGCCCTGCAGACATTGTGGTGCATGTACCTTTGGGCCTTGGTTTTGAGGTGGGCAGGAAACGGCTTTCCCAGCCATGAGGATTTACACTGTTTCAAAGGATGCCTGCTTTGGCACAGGGACGAACCCCGCAAGCTTTCCATGTTTCCCATGACAAACCAGACAGCTGCCCCCACCAAAATAGCGGTGGTTGGGCCCTCAGCTGGGATGTGGGAAACCCAATTCCAGGTCACAGGAATCCTAGAAGCATGGGGCTGGAAGTGTCCTTGAGAAGTCACCAAGTCCAGGCCCTGCGCTGAGATACAACCAAGAAAACCTAGACCACCCCTGACAGGCGTTTGTCCAACTTGTTCTTGAAAACGCCAGTGATGGGGATCCCACAGCCTCCCTTGGTAACCTACTCTAGAGCTCAACTGGCCTTTATACCCCTAATATCTAACTTATATCTCCCTTGCTGCAGATTAAGCCCATTACAACTTGTCCTACCTTTAGCAGACATGGAGAACAAGTGATCACAGCCCTGTTTATAACAGCCCTTCGTTTATTTGAAGACTATTATCAGGTCCCTGCTCAGTGTCTTTTCTCAACACTTAACAGGTCCAGTCTTTTTAACCTTTCCCCATAGGTCAGGTTTGCTAAACCTGATTCTCCCCTCGTCTCCTACATCCCAGGTGAGCGCCATAACCATGGGGCTGCGTGGGCAGGAGGGTGTTTGGAGCCGAAATCCCATTCTGGACTGGAGAGCGCTTCCTGACTAAAGTTCTCTTGAAACAATCTCTTTTGCGGGAAAAGTTTCAGGGTTGAGAAATCCACATTCTGTGATGATGAAATGTTTCATTGAAAAATTCCTGACCAGCTCTAGTCTGGCTGCATTAGGTTTCTGTCTGGCAGGTGCTGAAATGTGTTGAGAGATCCGTCTGTCCTTGTGGCCAGTGACAGCAAAGGCCTGGGCTTAACTAAGCTTGGCCACTAGGTCTCTCTTCACTGCGGAGTTAATTCAAGCTGACTCTGCTTGAGTTACTCCTCTCACTTGGGTTTGAGCCTATACCCCCCTCTCGTGCCATCCAGTTGGAGTGAAGTGTTTGTGTGTGTGAGAGGGAGTCAAGTTGGGGGCAACACATGAGTTAACTCTGCAGTGAAGACAAGTCTGGTGTGATTGCCTTGTGTCCTCAGACCCAATCCCCTCTGTTAGGGCTGAGCCACCTTGGCAATGGGTAGGATGCTGGGGGAAGCTTGCTTTGTCGTTGACTCTGGTGTTGGCACAGAATTCCAGTTTCCAGGCCTGCCAAGCCAACACCTATCCCATCAGTGCAAACGCTTGAGCCCTAGCTAGGTGTGGCCGTCTCCCGCACACAGCCCTGCTATGGCTGACGGAGCGTTTCCTTTAGCTCAAACAGCAGGGGCCTGCTGTTTCAGAGGCGAAGGCCGTAGGCTCTGTGCCCGGTGTCGTATGTGGATGACCTTGTCATCTGCAAAACTGGAAACAATGGGGCTGGGGGATGATGTTACTAGAGGTTCTTTCTGGGATAAATCCAACCACCTAAGTCCTTGTGACTGGAGATCCCCAGCATGGGCTTTGTGTAAAGAGGGTGGTTGTTGTGCTTTGTCTTGCCAAATTCCTACATGTTGGTTGCCTCCATTCCACCTGTGTGTTTTCAGCTGGATTGGGATCCGCTTCCGAGTGCTCTGTGCCATTGAACAGCTGTTTTCATGCCATTCGCTGTCTGCCCCCATGTCGTGACTAGAGTGGATAATGGGATGGGTGCCACTCTGGCTCTGGTGTCTGGGCAGCGAGCTGTGCTGGGAAGGGACGCAGTTCACTGAGCTTCTGAGAGTTTTGCATGGCTTGTGTTAGAGCAGTTGGCCCAGGCTTGATGTCTAGCCAGGGCCAAAGATCCAAAAGGCACATGGGGGGGAAGCCATCACTAGCATCAGGAGTTCTTATTGCAAACCCTGGAATGCAATTTTTGGTGTAGCCTGTGGGCGCGAAAGCCTTCAGCATAGCACTGGTGGCTGGTGTTGCAGGCCTTTGGAAGGGGAGCCAAGGATCTGGACTTGGTCTGTGCAAACAAACCTCTTCATTGAATGGGTTTAGCTTCTAAAGGACTTAGCGAGGGCTTGTTACTTAATGAGCCATGGAGCTTGGGGAGTCTAAACAGCCTTCGCCTGCCCCTTTGTTGGATGAACACCACAGGGCAGCCCCGTGTTTTCCACGCCTCCGTCTAGAGAAGAAACCTGGTAGGTCCTTCAGCCTCTGCCTCCCGACAGGCTGGCTGCCTTCTTGCTAATCAGCAAGAGGTGATGACACCAATTGCTACTGCAGCTGTCTCCTCGCCCAGCAAAGCTGCAATGGAATAGGTGATTCCACACTCCACAGCTAGCAGGGCTGGGAGTCAGCGGTGCTCAGCTGGATTCTCCCTGCTGATGGGGCTATCCCCAACCAGTGACTGCAGACACTCTGTCCTTCTGTCTTCACCCCACCCAAGAAGGCTCCAGAGGCAGCTACCCTCAGCGATGTGCCTGGCAGCAGAGATCCCGGCAGGAAAGGGGGAGCAGACAATGTGGAAACATGGGTAGGTTTTGGGGTGCATGTATGGAGTAGCCATTCTAGGGGAGATCACCACTTACCATTTTAAAGGCTCTGGGCCTGCTCCTTGGTGGGGGTACATCAGCATAGCTCTATTGATTTCTATGGAGTGACCCAGATTTATATTAGCTGGGGTTCTGTCCTTCATTCTTCAGGGGAACAGCGATGAACAATCCCGCAGGAAGCTACAGTCCTGTTCCTTTCAAGGTGTTGCTCCCTCCCCCCATAGCTGAAGTTCAGGGTGCCGTCTCAGTCCTTCTCTGCAATACAAATATCTTCTGGGTGCAGCAGCCAACGGGTGAACCTTCCAAACCCGGAGTGGGCCAAGAGGAGGAAAATGAGTCCTAGAGTCGGGGCTCTCTGCCACCAGCTCAGTCCCATTGTAATGGCTCTGGCAGCCCGCTGTAGTCCGAGGTCCAGAAATACAGCGCAGCCTTCAAACAGGAAGGGAGGGGAACATGGCGTCCCCTTCAAAGACATGGTGCCAGTCCTCTGGGTTATTGTTTGCACTGTGGCAGCACCTAGAGGTCCAGTTGATACCAGGGCCTGTTGTGATGATTGTGCCATCTATGCAGACAGGAGAGGCCGAGGGTGGGGGAAGGGGCGCAACGTGTTATCCCCATTTTACAGATGGAGAACTAAGGCCCAGATCCTTAAAGCTAGTTAGGTTCATTGGATTCAATGGCAGTGAGGAGTCAAATTATCTTTGACGAGCTCAGCCTAAGTGACTTAGATCTCTGAACGCAGATCTCTCGAGTCCCACCCCAGCACCCAAACCCCGATACCATCCTTCCTCCCTGTCTTGGTTGCATAGCACAGCTGGCGTGGGAGGCATGATAATCAATGAAGAGGTTACAAGACGTACCTGGTGGCTTCCTGCACCTCCCCTACACTCCCTGACTGTCTCCTCCCGACAGGAGCAAGCCCCTGAGTGGACAGTTGGGCACAGGAGCTGGTGGGAACGGCTAGATTTTCCTGTCCCACGGAGTCCTTCTGTTGAACTGATGCTTTAGGTTCACTTTAATCTGCCTGAGGACAGGCAGGGGAAGGGATGAGCCAAGGAATATTGGCGTGGAGGGTCGGGGTTGGGAAAGCGAAGATCTGATAGAAGCCCCCTTGGTGCCAAACTTCAGACGGCAGGAAGACGCCTTCTCAAGAAACGCAAATGCCGCGTGCTCTTCTGGCGTGCACCACCTTGCTTGTTCCCTGAATAATTCTTGAGGCTCAAGTGTCGGGCATCCAGCCTACCTGCTCTGCTCTGCAGGAGCATCAGCCCTGAAAGATGTGCAGAGACTGCCATTGGGCCAGACATGGCTGCTGCCCAATGCCAAGCTGTCTGCCCACTGGGGCCATCGGTTCTGGTACAGCAAGGGTCTTCCCTGGCACCATGGTGGCCAGGCACTTACAGGGGAAGTGCTGCATTCTTCAGAAACATGTTCCAGGGGCAGCTTTGTCTAGGCTGGAGCTGGAACTGTTGTTGCCAGTAGGGGTCCGTACGCTAGTTCTGAGCTGCACGCTAAAAATAGCGGTGATGGCAGGAGTGGCCAGCTGCCATGCGTACATGCCCAGGCTTCAGCTGGGATCACCCTCGAGGCAGCTGGGCTCCCTTCACCGTGGCTGGGAGGCTGCTATTTTTAGCTTGCTATCACGAGCACGTGTGCGCGAACTGGAAACTACACCTCTCGCTCCATTGTAGTTGTCCTCGGAGAGAGAGCTGGAGACGGACCTCCAGCAGGACTTGCATCTATGTGACATAGGAGTACTTCTGGAAATTCGACTGTCCAGGCTTTTACAAGCCAAGCTTCTAGAGCATGGGACGGTTTGGTTTAAATTCTCAGGGTTCATGCAACACATTCTGTTTGGGCTGCTGTTCTGAGCGAGGTCACGCACCTCCTTGAATTTGTAGGTGGAATGATGCCCGCAAGTCAAGGTGAAACTCAGCCCAAACCACCAGCTTAAACGTGTTTTCTGCTTGCAACTGTGCTTTGACCCACGTTTGCTTGGAAGGGGTAGGAGCAATGGTCTCACATTGCAGTGAGGGAGGTCTAGGTTGGAGATTAGGAAACGCTATTTCACTAGGAGGGTGGTGAAACACTGGAATGGGTTACCTAGGGAGGTGGTGGAATCTCCTTCCTTTTCAGTTTTTAAGGTCAGGCTTGACAAAGCCCTGGCTGGGATGATTTAGTTGGGGATTGGTCCTGCTTTGAGCAGTGGGTTGGGCTAGATGATCTCCTGAGATCATAGAATCATAGAATATCAGGGTTGGAAGGGACCCCAGAAGGTCATCTAGTCCAACCCCCTGCTCAAAGCAGGACCAATTCCCAGTTAAATCATCCCAGCCAGGGCTTTGTCAA